ACAATCATATTAAACATATTTCCACATTAGACATGTTGTGAAAGAAGAATCAGAACAAAAGTGGAAAACCATGAGAAAGAAAAAAAAAAAAGGAAATAGTATGCTTTGATCTGCATTCAGACTCCATAGTTCTTTCTCTGGATGTGGACAGCATTTTCCATCATGAATCTTTTGCAATTCACTTAGATCATTGCATTGTTGAGAAGAGCTAAGTCTATCACGGTCAGTCATCACACAATGTGGCTATTACTTGTGTACAATGTTCTCCTGGTTCTGCTCATTTCACTCTGCATCAGTCCATGCAAGTCTTTCCAGGTTTTTCTGAAATCTGCCTGCTCATCATTTCTTATGGAACAATAGTATTACATTATATTCACATACCACAGCTTGTTCAGCCATTCCCCAAATGATGGCCATCCCCTCAATTTCCAGTTCTTGCCCACCACAAAAAGAGCTACTATAAATATTATTGTACATGTGGGTCCTTTTCCCATTTTTATGATCTCTTTGAGATACAGACCTACTAGTGGTATTGCTGGATCAAAGGGTATGCACAGTTTTATAGCCCTTTGGGTATAGTTCCAAACTGCTCTCCAGGATGGTTGGGTCAATTCACAACTCCACCAGTAATGCATTAGTGTTCCAATTTTCCCACATCTTCTCCAACATTTATCATTTTCCTGTTTTGTCATGTTAGCCAATCTGATAGGTGTGAGGTGGACAACCTCAGAGTTGTTTTAATTTGCATTTCTCTGATCAATAGTGATTTAGAACATTTTTTCAGATGGTTACAGATAGCTTTAATTTCTTCATCTGAAAACTGCCTGTTCATATCCTTTGACCATTTTTTAATTGGGGAATGACTTGCATTCTTATAAATTTGACTCAGTTTTCTATATATTTTAGAGATGAGGCCTTTGTCAGAGACACTGGCTATAAAAATTGTTTCTCAGCTTTCTGCTTCCCTTCTAATCTTGGTTCCATTGGCTTTGTTTGTGCAAAATGTTTTAATTTAATGTAACCAAAATTATCTATTTTGCATTTCATAATATTCAATCTCTCGTTTGGTTATAAATTCTTTTGTTCTCCATAGATCTGACAGGTAAACTATTACTTGCTCTCCTGATTTGTTTATAGTTTCACCCTTTATGTCTAAATTGTGTGCCCATTTTGACCTTATCTTGGTACATGGTGTAAGATGGTCCCTGTCAGTGCATCTTCTTGCCATGATGTTGTACTCTACCCTCTACCTCTAATTCTCACCCTTGGGCACTACACTCCTGATTGGTTAGAGTTTATCATTTCTAGGTTTCTACGTCTTGCTCTGGGAACAAATAATCAAATGAATGTTACCATTCCTGGAAAGGATGTCTTGATCAATTACTATAAGATTCTACCAACCCAGTGACTTCAACTCCACTGCCCTCTACGTATTTGTTTTTTGTCTATTAGAACATAAGTTCCTTGAGGGCAAGGACTGTCTTGCTTTTGTATTTGTATCATCAGTACCTACCATAGTGCCTGAACATAGTCAGCCCTTAATACTTCGCTACATTCATTCATATTTGATCTATGATCTTCCTGATTCCAGGTCTAGAGCTCTATCTGTGACACAAAGTTGCCTCTGATAAGATTTAGAGCTGAAAGGGACCTTGATGGTAAGGTAGTCCAATTCCCTCATTTTACAGATGAGTAAACCTCTACTAGGTTGACTTACCCAAGGTCACCTAGGCAGAGAATAGCAAAAATGTGATTCAAAACCAAATCCTCTTACTACAGATCTTGTATTCTTTCTACTGATGGTCTTACCTGTCTTAGGTGTTCTGCACTCTCCACAGGTATGCTGACCCAGTAGGAAGGCAGTGGGAAACAGAGAACAGATGGACAGGTAATTGGAAGATTTGTGTTATATTTATATTATACCTCCCTGGCACTTAGTTATCTCTTATACTGCGGATGTGCTTGGGAATGCCCCTGGACTAAGAAGTGAATTTACTGAAAGGGCCCGTGTGTGGTAATTTCAATCTTGTTCAGGTTATATATCTATAAAAGGAAATGATCTGAAACTCTGCTCTCTCCTTTTAGGTATGTATAAACATTAGGCCTTCAACCAGTACTGGTTTCTAAGGAATCAAGAGCATTAGTCATGGGTTTGGGAACAACACTCCCCCCCGCACCAGCCAATGTTGTATCAGTTCAAAGTAACTGGAATTTGGTATGTTGTGGATAAGCCCTTGAAAATTTAGAGAAAAATAAATTTCTCTTCTTTTCCATTATGTTCCTCTTCTATTTTCTAGAAGATATCAAACCAAAATATACCACCCAAGCAGCATGAGAAAAAACAGTGAACATCTCTCAACTAAAATATTTTAAGTTTTATTAGAAGGTGTGCTAAAATGACTATACATATATAATCTACATCAAATTTCTTGTCTTCTCAAGGGGAAAATAAGGGAAAGAGGGAGGGAGAGCATATAGAACTCAAATGTTTTTTTTTAAATGTAAAAAAATTTTGATTACATGTAATTGAGAAAAAGTTAAATAAAAATTAAATGTAAAAAAAAAAGATGCACTACAGAATTTTTTTTTGTGTGTGTGTGTGTGTGTGTGTGTTTAATGTTTATACTCTTTGACCCAAAGATCTCAATGCTGGGAATATACCAGTCCCAAAGAGCTCAAAGGCAGAAAGAAAAGTCATAGATGTACAAAAATATTTACAGTAGGACTTTTTTCTGGGAGCAAAAAAAAACTGGAAATATGGCAGGTGTCCACTGATTGGAGCACAACTAATCAAGTTGTGGTACATCAATGTAGTGAATATTACTGGTCCATAAGAGGACTATGAAAAATTATGAGAAAACCTATAAAATGAAGAAGACTGAAGTAAGCAAGATCAGGAAAACAATGACTACAATGATATAAACAGAAAAAAGCCCAATGAAATGAAACAAATTAAATATGCTAAGAAGAGCTTCAATTCCAGGGGCCAGGTACTCATGGTTTTATCGTTTCTTGAATTAGATGAGTATGAGGAGAACAAATGTGAAGCAAGGTTGTGCTATTTTATATCTTCAATTTCACTATACTTAAATTCCCCACTCTCCTCCAAAAAAAATTAAAAAAACAAAAACAAAAATCCAAACCCAACTTGTGAGTGGATACAAGCCACTCTAGAATATGCTTTCTATCCTTTCCTTTTTCTTGATATTCTGTTCTACTTTCCTCCCAACTTTTGTAGGCCCTTCCTTTTCTTCAACACTGAACGAAAACACTGTGGCCAAAAGCCAGATCCAGGGTTTGGCCAGGGCTAATGAAGGGGAACTATTATCCATCCTTCCTACCCCCAATACTAAACTTCATTTTAATAGTAACAGTAAGGAAAAAAGGGCTTCTGCCCCTTTGACTCCTTAATTTCCTTCAAAGCCCCTCTTAACTACTGACTTTAAAAGGAAGCCTTTCTTGGTAGAATGTGAACTTCTTGAAGGCAGAACCCATTTCAGTTTTGTCTTAGTATTCCCAGCACCTAGCACCATGCCTGGAACTTAGAAAACTCGAAATAAATACTTGTATGAAATCGAACTTCCTTCAGTCACTGGAGATGGCCTCAAGAGGTTTCTCTTTGTTGATACAGTAGGACAAAAGTAGTGACCATGCATGCTGGAAGGAAGCCTTGGGTAATCGAAAGAGAATAACAGAATATCCACTCCAAGTTCTAAAACCTAACATACTGGATAACCAGATTTCTGACTAATTTGGGTTTCAAAGATTGCCTCTCTAACAGCACACGCTACCTCCCCTTTTGTTTCTCCCCCTTTTAACAATTGCAGTGGTTCTTTGAACTTGGACTTGAAGTTATGAGAATTGGACTAGAATCCAAGAGGAAATTGTTCTGTAGACCCTCCCCATAAAAGTTGAGGTCATTCCTGGCAATCAGCTCCCTTGCCATTAGTATGAACACTTCCTCAATGTTCTTGGACTCTTTAGCTGAAGTCTCCAGAACTGCGAGAAGGCCATGTTTCTCTGCCAGAGTGCAAGCATCTTCAAAAAGAACATGACGTTTATCCCATAGGTCAGCCTTGTTCCCTGGAATTACAGACAAAGCAACGGGATACTGAGTAGTGTAACTTGATTTTTAAGAATGACATATTTTGGGGCAGCTAGGTGGTACAGTGGATAGAACTCAGGCCTTGAAGTCAGGAGGACCTGAAATCAAATCTGACCTCAGACACTTGACACTTACTAACTGTGTGACCCTGGGCAAGTCACTTAACCTCAACTGCCTCACCAAAAAGCAAAAAATAAATAAAAAGAATGACATATTTTTAAAAGAACACTTTAGCTCAACAAAATGTTCTGTAGGCTAGAAAAAAACCAACTCTATTGAAAATAAGTTAATATCATAAACATCAAATAATTGGAGACTAGCTGAATCAGTCATAGTATATCAATGCAATATTATTGCTCCATAAGAAATTAGATATGAAGAATATAAACAAATATGGAAATTTTATAGGAAGTAATATAGAATGAAAAATGAATCTAAACAACTATCATTAATACTTTAACAATACTAGTTCTAAAAAAAATCTTAAAAAGTCAGTGTACTTTTGTATATCCATGCTAAAGGAGGGGAGAAGTAGAGTATCTGATTGGGGGTGGGGTCATTTTTCATTTCTACCAAAGAATCTCAGGGTTGGAAGGGACCTCAGAAGCTGTCTGGTACAACCTGAGCCTGAAGGAATCCCACCCTACAGTATCTCTGAGAAGTGGTCACCCAGCTGGCCCTTGAAGATTTTTATCAAAGCGGAACTCACTCCCTCTGCATTTTTTGTTGTTCAGTGGTTTTAGTCATGTCTGACTCTTCGTGACCCCATCTTGGAGTTTTCTTGGCAAAGATACTAGAGTGATTTGCCATTTCCTCCTCTAGCTCATTTTACAGATGAGGAAACTGAGGCAAACAGGCTTAAGTGACTTGCCCAGGGTTACACAGCTAGGAAGTATCTGAGGCCAGATTTGAACTCAGGAAGATGTCTTCCTGATTGCAAGCCCAGTGCTTCATCCACTGCACCATCTAGTTGCCACTCTACTTTTGGACACCTCTAATTTGTTTTTCCTTTACTCTGGGGCTTAATCTATCTCTCTATAACTTCTACCCATCCTCTGGAGCCTAACAGAACAAATCTAATCTTTTACCCAACAACAGCTCTTTAAATATTTGAAATTTCCTTTGATATCCCTTCTGAGTCTTCTCTCCTCCAGACTAAACACCCTTAGTTCCTTCAACCAGTCCTCATATAGCTGGTCTATGATCACCTCCAGACCTTGTTGCCTTCCTTGGAGTGACTTTCAGCTTCTCAATTTTGGACTGGACCGTGATTTAATGGGTGAAAGAAACTTGCTGTGAAGAAACTCCTACCAGCATGGCACCTAATTTGTCATTTCTGTCCTTAAGACACTTCTAGCTTGGGACACTTAATGATTTGCCCAGGATCACACAGCCAGTGGCAGGACTTGAAAGCAAATTTTCCTGACTCAGATTCTTTACCTACCACTCACTTCAGACAAATTTACCAGTGGCTTTTCTCCTCAAGGCCAGTGTGGTAATGTTCATCCCAAAATGTGCTAACATACCAGACCCATGCTTTTTGCTTACTAACGACTACATCATTTGTATTCTTCTTAAAATATGGTCTGATCCCAGTGCTGATCCTAGAACTGATTCCCATATTCCAGATGTGTCCTGGCCCACAGAGGTGATTATAAAATGATAGGTTTAAAGCTGGAAGGGACTTTGAAGGTCTCCAAGCTCAACCCCTTCATTTTACAGATGAAGAAACTGAGGCCTCGATCTTACCTATCGAACTACCTAAGACTGAACTTAGTAGAGTTGGAATTATCACATTCCAATTCCCACTTCTGAGCAAATTGAAACAACCCCTTGTATTTTCCCCTCACTTCTTCTCTTTCCTTCCCCTAGACTCATGACCAGGGTTGGGAGTTGTGGCTGAGTTTCTGTTCCCCATGACTATAATACTCTTCAACCTGACTCCTAGCTTCTTTCAAGCCTCAGCTATAATCCCACATCCTATAATAAGTCTTTCTTGCTCTTCCTTATTGCAATTGCCCTCACTCTATTGATTATCTCCAATTTACCCTGTACATATCTATATACAATATGTACATATTTGTTTTTGTGTTGTTTCTTCTCATGAGCTCCTTGAGAGCAAGGACTTTTTTATTTTTTTTATCTTTTGGCAAGGCAATGGGGTGAAGTGGCTTAACCCAGGGTCACACAGCTAGTAAGTGTCAAGTGTCTGAGGCCAGATTTGAACTCAGATCTTTCTGAATCCAGGGACCGTACTCTATCCACTGTGCCATCTAGCTGCCCCTACAAGGACTATGTTTTGCCTTTCTTTGTATCCCTTAAACTTGACACAGTCCCTGGCACATAGCAGGTGCTTCATAAATGCTTAGTGACTGCCTGGTATAAACTGATATTTTTTTTGCACCTCTTCAGAAAGGAGACTATATCAGAAGACAAAGTTGTATAAGCTTTTAGTTGCTTAATGACCATTAGATGAAAAATTAAGGGAGAAAGTGCTATTTCACTTTCTCTAAAACACTGAAGTGGCTAAGAATCCTACTTTTCAATGGAAATAGAGAGCCACAGAGGTTCACACTACTATTGGGGAGATTTAATTATATATATTCTCTCTCTTGATTTCTGCAAGAGTTCTGAAAGAGACAGAAGCTTACATTTGTGGGGCATTGCTTTAGCAGCAGGTTGTGAAAGATGGTGACCACAGCAATGATTTTTTAATGTGCCCATAACCACATTTGTAAGAATTTACTGCATGAGCTTTTCAGAACAAGCTGTCCTCAGTCCCTATGTATGGTCCCAGGGAAAGAGCTTCGACTCTAAGGAAAGTGAGATGAGTTACAAAGTTACATTTTAATCAAGTCTTTACATAAGATTAGAAGTGGAAAAAGTTCTAATCAAGAATTGTGCAAGATTAGAGTGAAATAAGAAATGATACAGTTAATGCTTAGTGAAAAAAGTAACCAGATTATACCCAGAATGCTATTTCTTTCTCATTTTATGAGTCCATATGGCTAAAATTTGGCTGTTTGGACCATGGGGCTATAACCAAGTCAGTTTAAGATATACAGTACTGACTAGAGTAAACATTAACTGAAGGCAAAGTCCCTCAGAGTGGAAAAACAGCATCTTGAATAATAAGCTTTCATTCCTATAAATATAAAGTGTGACAGTAACTCATATTTGTTTTAGTGAAAAGTAGGATAGCTTGCATTTCCAAACGTGTTAGTTTACTCTATGTAGCTGAATCTTCTGTTTATTTTTATTCAATTCTTGAGAATAGCTTAAATATATACATACGGTAAGAAAACAGACTTTCATTTGGACGCAGTAGTTATTTAATAAGTGCATATTGGTCAATAGATTTATATGTTTTAAAATATTTAATTTATCATTTGAGGACAGACTCATCTCCCTGCTTCCATATTTCGCCTGTCCAATCTGTCTTCTACATGGTGGCTAAAGTGATTTTTCTAAAGCACAGAATCACTCAGAAGTCTTAGTTGCTTTTTATTTCTTCCAAAATAAAATGCAAATTCCTCTATTAGGCATTTAAAACTCTTCATAGTATGACTCCTGCCTATTTTTTCTAG